AATTGAAATAAATGGAAATAGGGGGATACATGAATCCAATACAAGCATTCACATAGATAAAATATCATATTTATTTGCTTTTCTAAAGTAGAATTAAAATAAATAACAAATAAATCACAATTATATTGATGTCATAATACTTTGAAATTAATAGTAGTTATTGAACTACAAATTAGACCTTATTCCTCGTGGGAACGATACTCTTAACTCACAAATCTTATTACTTGTACAACGATCCCGTACGCTTGCGGGTTTCACGCGAACATACAAAATCAGAGTACAGAGCACTTGCCTCAACAGCCTCAGAGATAGCTTGGATCCAATCACTTTTCAAAGAACTTGAATTATCACAATCATCCATCCCAGTCCTGTGGTGTGACAATAGAGCGCTAGTGCTTTGGCAGCCAACCCAGTATACCATGCGCAAACAAAACACATTGAATTAGACATTCATTTCATCAAGGATAAAGTGTTTGGCAAAGAATTAGAAATCAAATACGTGCCTTCCTCTAATCAAATAGCAAATCTCCTAACAAAAGGTCTCACTCACTCAAGGTTCCTTTTTTTGAAAGACAAACTTGGAGTCAGTTCCTTGCCATCCAGCTTGAAGAGGGATATTAAGAATGATAGCTAGCTCCATTCAGAATGAAGCTAGTGTCAGCTAGCTCCATCCAGCCACTAACTCCAACTATTTCATTGCTGGCAATTCTTCCGTATTTGGTACAATGCTAGCACTAACTTTCTGTTGTATTTTTATCCCAACACTTTCTTTAAAATCAGGAGCTAACAAACTCCTTGTAGCCTCTAGAATCTTCCCTTGTAATTATTTATACCACGTTGATAATGAATGAATGTAGCTGAGCTAAATTATTATTTCCTTTCTTGCATTTCAACTCATAACTTTGGCCGGAGACGTGTTTAGTTATGTTCATGGAAACATAGATATCACTTTAGACATGCCAAAGCTGGTTACAAGCAAATATCGGCCACTACTATGCAACGATCCTACCAAATATTACATGCGACATACAACAACAAGGGATATGGAAATCACTTGACATATTATTTTTTTATTTTTTTTTCCTTTGCTTTCCATCTTTGCAACTGGGTTACTTTTCATTGTCTAGAGGAAAGATCGAATGCTTCCACCCTTGTGATGGATTGAATAAAGAAAATCTGCAAAGGGAACTCCATTAGAAATTAATATATTCAATCTTCAAAAAAAAAAAAAAAAAAAAAAAAGGTTTACATTCGAGATTATGCAAATGTGTCATAAAACCAGGATTCTACCCTCTCTCTCTCTCTTTTGGTATAATATTTCATATTTATTATAAATAAACCAGGAGTGGTTATATGGAGAATAGATATGTTGTTTAATTCTGAACTAGAATATAAACACTCGAACAAGGCCGTGCTTATAAGTTGTGCTTACTCATTTAGTGACAGTTGGCGATTAGTGAGAATAAATATATTTTAATGATAATTAATATTTGTTTAACTAATTTAATTATGAGAAATGGCCTGCATGGAACATCTGTAGGAAGAGAAACCAACAAACATAAATAAATAAATATTTGTTTGTTAAATAATTGGTTGACTATCCGTATTGTATTTGATTTGATTTAATATATATCTGGCCTGTATTTGATTTGTTTAACATATTCCATTACGAAAATGTCTGATAATTCAAGCAGAATCACAATATTTTAAGAAAGATTTCATTGTCGACGATAGAAAACAGGACCTAAAGTACAAGTTTGTATGACAGAATATTCCAATCCATGGCACATAACGATGATTCTATTAGCTAGGATTTTTCGCTACAGCTAAGTACCTATGGTTTGAAAACTAGAAAAATACAAGCAATATTCCGACTTAAAAATGGAAAAACTGTATGCGCTATGCAGATTATAGGTTGAAAAGGACACCATTAAAGATTAAGATAAATTAAACTCGATCAATTGGACATTTCAATCGAGTAACAGATAAATACGCCAAGACCTAAATGTGTCTAATGATTGTATTTTCTTTTAGAGAAAGAAATACCCTTAATGTTATTCAATACAGTACTATTTTCACTTCGATGAAAATTAGCCTCTGTTTATAAATTTTAATTATTGAATTAATTAATTTTTGTTCATAGTTGAAATCTGATATATAAAACTTTTTGACTCTTTCGGCCTTTTCTGGTTTAATGCTGGACTGTATTTATAAACTATGCTATATGAATATTACTTATCTGGAGATGTCCTGGCCCTGTAAGTTTCTGCTGTGATAAATTAAGCCAATTTGATGGTGAAGAGGTCAACAACCACTGAGCAATGTACTAAGACGAGCAAAAAAAACACAGGCGAGGAAGACAAAAACTTTAGTGTATAAACTCGATATCTTCTATATATTAAAAGTGGCTATGTAACGGAATTTGTTGTTTTAATGGACTATGTAACGGAATTTCTTATTTTAAACAGGCAGATGCACATTCTTTCAGTGTTTTTATCATAACTTTGTATTCCGATATCCAATTGAGACGATTCAAAATGCGTTGGAAAGCTAACTCATCTGTCTGCAACTTTGATTCAGACATCATTCTCCAATTCGATCACTTTCTATGCCAAAAATAGGTCTCAATATGATACTAAAACATCGGAGCATAACTTTTCCGTTGGAAATTGATTTGTGATCATCTTTTGACTAAATTTGATTCCATTGACGTCTTCCTTTATCCAATTGACTCCGAGCACTCTCAAATCTTCATCGTGAGGTTCGGCACAACTTTTAAGTATTTACATTTTAGTCCCCGAACTTTGGATCCCTTACAATTTAGCCATTTCTCCAAATTTGTCAACTTTTGCTTATTTTCTTCGATCTCACCAACTTACATCACAACATCAAAATCACACATCTAATTATTTAACAATTACATAAACATTACATCATTAATTATTTAATTAACCAAAAAAATTACATCTTTATTAGTAACAAATTAATTATTAAACAAAACTATTAAATATAAACTAGGCAAACGTGCATTGCACGTTGCTTGCACTTAGTATTGTATTAAAATGTAAACTAGGTCAAACTTCTTGTGCATCTAATTTTCTAATTTTGTGAATATTAGGGTGTGTTTGATTACATTTATTTTCCATGAAAAATGTTAATTTTCCATCCAAATTCTTACCTTGAAGAGTGTGATTGTTATTTTTTCCACGAAAAATATTTTTCAACTTTTAAAAATATGTCCAATTTTCCTTTTTTTTTTTTTTTTAAGGAAAACATTTTCTTTGTGGAAATAGGTTTTTGTTTTTTTCAAAACAAGAAAAATATTTTCTTTTCTAAAATATATTTTTCATTCCAATCAAATATACTCTTAGGCCTGTTTGTTTTGACTTTCTTTTTCATTAAAGATGAAAATTAAAATCAATTTCTACATTTTTACATGTTTGATTGACTAAAATTTTCATGGAAATGATTTTCCACATTTTCTTTGTTTTTGAGAAAAAACTTTTCCCATGGATTTGGTGGGAAAAGCTTTTCTAGGCAACTTTTTTAAAAAAATTGGCAATAGAAACAAATTATATTCACAATTGTAAAAAATTATATCTTTTTAATGGACAATTTTCATGAAAAATAAAACCAAACGAACACCAAAAGATCTAAAATTTCAATATGTTCTAGGTGAAAAATTATATCAATCAGATATAATTAATTGACAATTCTCAATAAAACAAATTTCCGGCAATTAAATTCCCTTAAATTCATTTTCTTTCCATACAATTCCATTCTTGTAAACGAACGGAGTGTCTTCCATTTCAGCGTACCAAACATACCCTTTATCATGTCCTATTATTGATTTTCCAACTATATCACTTTATTGAGTTTTGGAGTTCCATTAAAGGATGAACCCTATTAAGAGGTATAATCAGTGATTTAATTATTTTTCATTTAAGGGATGGGATGTTTTTACATGACGTTGTAAGACGGTGACTCATTTGAGCATGCTAATCTAAAAATTCGACCATTGTATTTGAATAGCTTGATCATTATCATTACCATATTGAGTTTTTGTGTTGCATCTAAAAATATATATTTATTAAAAGCAGCTCAATCTCTTATAAATTGATTATTTTGTTTCATATTGAAGTAATATATAGGAGTATGCCCTTAATACGCAACCATGTTTCATATGCAGTTTCGGACAACACTACTTAGGACAACAAATACGATTTAACTTGTTAAATAATTTATTCACTCCGTTGTACCAAACATGCCATTGATTGTGTGGAAATGTTGATTTTCCATTTTTAGATTACAAAGTTTAAAAATACTCCAACACTATACTATGAGAATTATAGGGTAATATGGTTTTGTAATAGGATCAATAGCAGAAAATTCCCCTAAAAACGATTTCATTTGCGATATACCCCATACCTATTGGAAATCGCAAAAAAAAACCCCCATATTTGAAACATTTTGTGCGAAAACTCCCTACGGTCTGATTTTGCGTTAAGAACAGAAAAATGAAAAAATTATATTCGTCAGCCTATATAAAAATATCATCTTTGTGTTATATATATTCGTCGGCCTATCTGATACAAAAATCATCTTTTCTCAAGTCTTTTATTGTCTATTCCAGAAATCTGTTGTTTGTTCTCCCTACAACTACAAGAGTCAACTTGGTCGAAAATGGAACTAAACAAATATTTTCCAAATTAATTAGAGCCGTCCTTGTTGTGTTAGAAAATAAACTCTTTTGTCTAGTATCCCGCCATGCATTAAACAAACATTAAAATCTATATACGAGTTTCCTTGTACAACTCCTATAAAAGCAAAGAACAGTCGTCAAACATTTTGAAGAAACCTTACGAGTTACTACCACTGAGAATAAGGTTTAGTTTGTGCAGTCGAAGGGCGAGTTTTATGTGCTGCTCACAATCACATCATATATAGGTAGGGGGGATAACAAAAAACTAACTTATCAAAAGATTGTAAAATTTTCCAATATGAGGAATGCAATTCTCCCTCTGTTGTCATCACATCTGTACAGCAATGGTAAGTTGGTAACATGTAGGAAATTCTCTAATTTCTAGTACTTATTTTAATTTTTGTAATTAAATTCACATATTATATATATATATGTTTTCAAATTTCAGGCTACAACGATGCCCTCTCTAATATTATTCCTGCACAAATAGACAGCTATTTGTAAGTCGGCTCTTCTCTTACTTTTAAACTATTGGTGTTCGATTGAATCAATGTTTGTTTGATTAAGCCTCCATATTTGAAAATAGTGGGTCCTACGAGATGTGTGGATAAAGATTAGTAGTTATGATTGTGTAGTCGAAATTAATACTTGATTTTTATTGAATATATAAACCATTTATAAATTTGTATCCAAACAGAGGCTAATGTTTGCATCTTCCAAACAGGAATTCGTATGACAGCAGCTTCTGCATGGATTTAGACATGCAAAATCACCATAGCCGATTTGATGAAGTAGTTAGTATGTATTCTCAATCATATGTCGACTATATATCATCAGGTTTGACAAATGCCCCTGTGGATCATTAATTTTATGAAATAATCTTGGGCACTTACTTAAATGTTGTTTTTCAGGACTGCCGTTGATAATGCCAATGGAAAGACTAGATTGCCCTCCATTTGTAGAAGAAAGGCAATCGACTTGCATGCCCATTTGTGACATTAATAATATTTGTCAGCCCCATGGCAAGACTTTTCCAGTTCAGCAAAGTGAAAATGTATGGCAATCTTCTTTACACTCTCAGGCTTGTTTTCTTGAAATCTGCAGTGTATCTAAGCACATGAATTCTGTGAAATTTTCCAGTGATCTTTCGTAAAATTTTCATGATTTTTGTATGGTTAATTCCTTGTTTATAGGACTTACAGCCCACAAATTATGGAAGAAAACGTTCAGTTGAGGCTAGAGATCAAAAACACAAGAAAGCAATGTGCTTTCAACAAGACATGGAGGGAGAAAAAATACAGAGACAAAAGGTAAGTAACTCCACATATTCTTGTATCTCTTAGAACATTTTAAGATGCTCTCTATATGCTATTTGTAAATTGAGAGTCTATTGAAGATACTCTTTATAAGCATAGAGTGTCTAGAAGGTTCTTTTACTGGATTTTGATAGGAATTCAAAAACTGAATAAGATTGATAAAAAGTTTAACTTTGTATGCGCTAGGTGCTCACGAGGAGAAGCCAAAAATTGACTGACAAGATCACGGCACTTCAAAAGTTAGTTTCTCCTTATGGCAAGGTACAAGGCTCTTTATATGTTTAGAATTAATCCCCACATACATGGATTATGTTCACATGGGGCTCACCAGGATACTCACAAGGGTGGGCCTCACCATGTATTAAAAAAAAATATTGTGCGCGAGACCCACATGTGTGTGTGTCTTGTGACAACAATCCATGTACGTGAAGCATGGTTCATATGTTTATTACGTTGAACTCGAAATATCAAGACAATATTTACGTCAACATAGGAAATTATGTTATCGATATGAGTGTCTTATATGTATCACTGCCCACATTGATCGAGTTAATTGGTATTGATGTCACAATTTTATGAGTAATCGTCTCATAAAAATAAAAAAACTTGGTAAATTTAAGTTATTTCATTTTAGTGTTTTTTTTTTTAAATCCTTGACCAATTGAGTTATTTCTTTCTTTTGAAATTTGACACCTAAAATGAAAATATTTCACCTATTTGTTTTGGTTGGATCTTTGTTAATTCTACTCCACTTGCAGACTGACACGGCTTCAGTGCTTCAGGAGGCTTATGTTTTTATCAAACTCCTTCAAGATCAAATTCAGGTTTTCCACTTATTTATTTATGTTTGTATCTTCACCTGCTTCTTTCTAAAAATTGGTTGAAGACATTTAAATAGAAATTTAAATATGAAGCTTGTACTACTATATATATATTTGATGTACTTAGAACTTGCGTGCTAAATTTTGTGCAGAACTTGGTTAATACATCCCATGCCAACGACGAATCAACTCGCTCAATGGTAAATACATTTTGGAATTTTTTAAATTAAAATAATATCAAATGAGTAATGCTATTCATTCTCACTGGGGTCACAAAAGCCATCTAAACTGTGTTTGTAATGTCACTGGAGATGAATAACATTACTTATATCAAATTCTAGATGAAATTTTTGCCATGTCTGGGTAATTAATGAAATTTGGTTTTTGAATTCATAAACAGGAAACAGAAAAAGAAGTTGATCTACGAAGAAAAGGGCTGTGTGTGGTTCCAGTGTCATGCACACAGAGATTATTAGAGGAAGTTAATGATTTTCTACCGGAGCCGGACCTTCATTAATTATTATCAAAGTCGGTGAATCATCCAGCTGGACCTTGGCTCCTCTCAGTTGTCTAGCACGTGTGAAGCATTAGAGATGTTTTAGTTTGTTATTGTTACTAACTTAACTTTCCCTCCTTTTCTAGTTTCCCACCTTTTTCATTTCCGGATTGTATTTATATGTTTGAACTCCTTCAACATTAATTAATTTTTGTTGAATAAAGATTCCTTCAATATCCATCTTCTTTGTAATATGGTATCAGAGCTTATCTGCTTCCAGCTTCGCAATTGATCTTCAATTGATTTCTTTTCAACTTTTTAATCATGGCCAATGATCATATTCAAATTTCTACTTCTTCAATGAGCAATTCCGCAATTGAAGACGGATCCAATCCCTACTTCCTTCACCATTCTGATAATCCAATTGGACATCTTCTTCTGATATTGCAAGTACATGCGAAATTGAAACCACAATACAGACTGGAGGTACAGGAAAAATCGAATATGATGAAGACAATGGGGGCAACAGAAGTCCTTTATCCCCAATTGTTCATGATGTTACAGAATATGTCAGTGTTGTACCAAATACTTCCTAAAAGATTCTTAGAATGTCAAATCGAACATCCAAGGCTACTGAAAAATTAAAGGACTTTGATACATATGAAGCTGTCAGTCATCCTATACAGTCGCATTAATCATACTCCAATATTTCTTTTTCTCATTCAGACT